CTTCTAATCCTCAGTCCCCACTCTTTCCTTTTGCACTACAACGGTCTCCTACTAACACCAGACAGACTCAGTCTGGGTGTGTGACACACATCCTTGAGTCACACTCTTCTCTGGCCACCCGTGTGTCATCTATGGAAGTGTCTAAGCATCTATTTACATCTGTCTGTCTGTCTGCGTTCTATCATCGATCTACTTATTTTGCTGTACTAGGGATTGAACCCAGGGCTCAGCTCACACCGGGAAAGTTTTCTATCCTTGAGTTATATCCTCAGAGCTCTTCTTTCCTTTCAAAGTTTAAAAACAGCATAGAGGTGCAGCTCTGGGCTTGAGCACTTGCCTTGTTTGTACAAAGCCCTGATTTCTACCACCAGTCCCCCAATACACAAACAAACAAATAAGATGAGTTTTCGCTTATAAAAAAGGTTAAATGCAAAAACACATGTAGAGATAGCTGGCCTATAATACCCTCACTATGAAAAGGAAGCAAGAAGGGAGTTGATCTTTTGGAAGACCCTATGCTGCTGGGCTGCAGAGCTGCTAAGCGTACCATATCCGTGCCCATCCTCCTGGGAGTAATCTGTCAAGCGGTGTGTCTGCGAACTGGGACACCTGTGAAAATGCTGGGGAACAAGCTGGATGGAAAAGCCAGGCCTGTGGAGGAGGCACTGTGGCCAGCCCTTGACTTCTCACGGAGCCCTCTCTTGCCAGTGAAGTCCTCATTTCCCTTCTCGATGACGCGGTGGCCTCGTTTAAATGTGGAAATCTCTTTGTGGACCAGTTCAGAGGGCTCTGTGTCATAAGCTCAACTTGGAGCAGATGGGCTGGTGCCAGGTCATGTTTGCAGAGGCCAGGGGATGTCCAGGGGGCTGTGAGCTGCCGGTCTGCCCCCACCAGGGCAGAGGTCTGGGCCCAGGACTGGCTATGCGGAAGTTCATTTTCGTCACCATCCCACCACTTCCTGCTCCTGATGGATCCCTCCATGGCCCTTGTCCTAACCCACCCTTGTCCCAGTCTCTCCCAGCTGCCCGGTGTCCCTGCTCAGGATTCTCCCTCCAATCTAGCATCTGCAGCCCTGGAAGGGTCTGCTCAAAACTCACCCATCACTCCTTCTACCCTTCACCATTTCCCAAGTATCTGTGGGTTCTCAGCACGATCCATTGGAATCATCTTCCAAGCTTTAAGAAACACTGATAGCCTCCCTCCTTCCCCTTGACTCAGAATCTTGAGATGGGAACCGAGGATCCTAGGCATTCATCATTTATTTTAAAGTTTCCAAATGAATTTCATAAACCCTCAGGGTTGAAAGCCTCTGGTCTATAGGATCAAATGAAAATTCCTTAGCAGGCCACTCAAGCCCCACTAGGATCTAGTCCCACTAGGACATTCATCAAAAGAATAATAAACACCTCTCGTGACAGCTAGGCATGCAATGACAATTTGTAGAGGGACTGAGTTAGGAGGTAAACTGTCACCGCGGACTTCTCCTGGCAGTCCCAGGACATCTGGTGCTCATCTGGGGTAAGAATCAAGGCACTGGCTTCTGGGAAGCCACAAATCCTTCACTTCTGTAGGCAGCTGTCTAATGGTCCCCAAGGACATCCAGCCCTGATATTTTGTGAAAGCTGTTGTCATGGTGTGGATTGAGAATGTCCTCCAAAGGTCTTGTGTGCTCATAGGTGGGGCTTTTGGAAGGAGATTGAATCATGGCAGAACTGTAGCTGACTTCCTGTTAGGAGGTGGGGTCTGATTGGTACAGGCAGTCCTAGGGGTGTGGCTTGGAGAGGTATCTCTTCCTCCCTGGTTCCTCCCTTCTCTCTCTGCTTCTTGGGCACCATCATGTGAGCATCTGTCTTCCACCAGGCTGGTCCACCATGCCATTTCTGTGCTTGCCTGCTAAACATGGACTGAAACTTCTGAAATGTGGTCCAAATGAGTCGCTCTCCCTTACATTGTGTCAGGTATTGTGCCCCAGTGAGGAGAAAGTGACTAAGATAGTTGCCTTACTTGTCCAAAGAGATTTTTCAAATGTGACTAAGTTCCTGCTATGGGAGGATCATCCTGGATGATCAGGTGGGCTCTACATGTACCACATTTGGCCTGAAAAGGGGGGAAATGGGAGATCTGACACAGAAGGAGAAGGCAACGCGACCACTGAGGCAGGTGCTCTGCTGGCACTGAGGAGGAAGGAGGAGCCACAGCCAAGTGAGGCAAGGAAAGTAGCTCTAGAAGCTCAAGAGACTAGGACATTTGTCCTAGGGAGTGTGGCCCTGCTTCTAAGTGCATGGAATCTGCATCCTCTCGGCTGCTGACTAGGGTCTTGTGCAGCAACTGAACAACGGAAAGGTGGAGAGGATGGCGAGAGAGGAAGCCAGAGAGAGTTAAGGAAGCTGAACTCACCATCACAACCGCTTGGTCTCGAGAGAACCAACCCCCTTTCACGAGAACTAACTAACTTCCTCAAGAACGGCACTAGTCTCTGACCCAAATATCTGGGAAAAACTGCACAATCTGTCAACATTACTACTTTGGGCACTGGGTTCCACCATGAGTTCTGGAGGGAACACACCTCACCTGGACCACAGAACCAAGTTTGTGTTTTTGTTACAGCAGCCGCAGGAAGCACATACTCCTCATCCCTCCACCCTGCAGGTCCACCTTGCTGTCCTGAGGCCCTCAGAACCCTTGAAGTCCCACCCCCTAGACTCATCTGCCAGCCTGCATCCAGCTCAGGCACTGACCTGCTCTGCAGCCAGGTGTGGGGCTTGCTGCTCGTCCCCTCCTCTGTCAAGGGGACTGATGGAGGCTTTCCCTCCTAGCAGGCAGAGGGTTGGGTATTGCTGGCACACAGCAAATGCCCAAGAAACACTAACGGAAAAGTGGCAAGTGCTGCTAACCCCCAGCTTTGGCAGAAATGGAGATGGTGGTTGGGTCTTGGCATCTGCGCTTCCATGCCCTGACCTCTTGGAAGATAGTGGTCTATTCATGGAAGCAGAGAGCTTAGGCAGAAGCTGCGGAAGGCTCTGGAGTTTCCTCACTTAATTTGCAAAGGTGGTGGGGAGATCGGTGCTGCCAGAGAGGTGACTTGAAGTTAATTTTTTCCTCAATAATGAATTCCTACTGGCCCTTAGGTTGCCATTTTTGCATCAAACTGGAAAAAGCCACTTAAGATTTGAAGTCAACCAAGAAGACAGCTTGCAATGTCCCAACTGTAGCCAGGGAAGGTGCAGAAGGCAGGGAGTCATACCTGTGGGCACTTCTCTGACTGTGGCACAGGGACTGGGGTTTCAGGGATACATAGCCATGGCTGAGATGCTGTCCAAAATGCTTGGAAAGTTGCCTGGTATTAACCTTCTACCTGCTGGACTGAGGAGACCGTATTGAGTGGCAGCAGGGTATGGAGACAAGGTGGCAGTGGGGGCAGAGGAACTGGCCTTTGGGCTTGCTATGGGGCCTGGGCTGACCTCCCTGCTCCCTGGCCTCAGCCGCTCTGTCTGTGGAAGGCAGGGAGAGAAACTCCGTTCAGGGTGTGGGCGTGACACAGGCAGAGAAAGCCTCACAGACCTGGTTCCAAGGAGCAGCTCTAGCTGTTAAGTCAGAGCAGCCACCCCGCAGGCTGTGGCAAGAGCCCTGGGGTGTGGTGTGCTGGCACAGTGGCCTTCCACGCCCCTAGCTGGCAGTGGTCTCTGCGATGTGCTGAGGTGGGCACTGGTAAATTATGGGGCAGACTGTGAATAAAGTCTCCAAAGAGTTGGTCAGGATAGGAGGCTGCAATGGCTCCTGGGAATGGATCTGGGTTCTCCTGAGAGTGACCTCAGGGGCCTCACCTTCTCCAGGCAGTGTCACCTTGTGTCATGGGCAGCACTAGCCCTGAAGGGCCCTTGAGGAGGGCAGTGTTGTGGTTTAGATTTAAAATGTCCCCCAAAGTCTCAGGTGTTGGAGCATGCCTGGATCACGGGGATGCTGACTGTGTTGTGGGAGGCGGGGCCTGGCTGGAGGTGGTCCTGGCATGACCTGGAAGGGTGTATTCTTGTCCTCAGCTCCTCCCTTCTCTGTCAACTTTCTGAATCCCATGATAGGAGCAGCTTTCTTTTGCTACATGCTTCCACCCTGCAATTCCTGCCTTGGAGCCAGCCTACCATAGACTGAACCCTCTTAAACTGTGATCCCAAATAAACCTCTCTTTCTTTAACTTTTGGGTGTCTGGTTTTCATTCTGTCCCAGCAAGGGAAATCTGTTGATACAGGAAGCTTCACCCTCCCTAGGCAAAGCCCTTGCCCTGGGTGCTCATTTTCTACCCAGCTCAGCTTTCTGCCCCAGCCACACTGGCTGCTGTGTCTCTGGCCCAGACTTTGTCATTCCCAGACTGCCCTGCTTCCTCAGTTCCCTTACATCTCTGCTCTGATGTCATCTCCTTTGAGAGCCTGCCATAGACCATCCCCTCTCAAACAGCACGTTTGCCCTCATCACCCCCTCAGTTCAACACGTGGAACCCAAGCTCTGCTCCCACTTGGTCCCCATTGACCAAAACAAGGGCCTGGCACACAACAGGGGCCCAGTAAACACATGCCAGCTCATGAGCCAGTGAGAGAGCAGAATCTACACAAAAAGAACTTGTGTCCAATTCCTGACTGAGTGGAGTATATGGGCATCTTCGTGCCAATCACCGTCACCACTGGGACCATGAGCACACTGGCTGCGTCTATTCTGGCAACCATGAGGTCACACAGGTGACAAGGCAGTAGAGTGCATTGTAATTCCCATGTGGGATGCAACCAATGTGTTACAAAAATGAGAAGTAAGTTGCATGTAGGAAGTGCAGCAGCACAGCTTGGTTTTTGTGGACACAGCCTTAGAGCAGAAGGGGCGTTTTTAGGGTAGTTTCTTCCTTCCTCAGAACAATAGCATGAGTTGAGAGGACAGAGAGTGATCACCTCTGCCCTGGGGTCTCCAAGGTGCTCCCGTGGCAGAGATGGCAGAGGCCGCCCCCCGGCCAGCCCTACCTGGATGAATGGGAAGAGGAGCCCCACGACGAAATTGGAGAGCCAGTTGATCGTGCCTGCGATGATGAAGGCAGCGGGCCGCTGCGATTGCTGGAGTAGCTCACCAGTTAGGATGAAGGGGATGCCGCCTGCAGTGGGAGGCAGGGGAAAGTCAGTCACCCCGAGCCACCAGTGTGCCCTCCCCTTTTTCCCCATGAGCCAGCTGTGGACCCTCTCATGCTAAACCCAGCCAGCCTGCATCAGTGCTGCTTCAGGAGTGGTGGTGGAGCTCGACCTCCCTTATCTCTAAGCGCTGTGTGAGAAGCATCCCTGTGACCCGGTCCATCCAAAGGAGATGCTTGTCATCCTCAACCGTCTCTATACCCATGAAGCCATGACCAGCACAAAATGAGTGATATGTGGATATATTTGATGCACGAGGCAATGGAATACAGATGCACTTCGACTGACAATGGGTTTGTAATGAAATTCAATGAAACCAACTCTAAGTTGAAAACTTCATAAGTCACACTGTTTTGGATACACCTAACCTACTGAACATCAGAGCTCAGCCTCGCCTACCTGCAGTAGGCTACTCTGGCCTTAGCCTAGACTTGAGCATCGGCAGAGAGACGTCAGGTACCATTAGCCCAGGAAAGGATAAAAATTCAAAACTGAAAGTACTCTACTGAACGCATGCAATTTTCAAACACTGTAAAATCCAAACATGCATCAAACCATAGCAAATTGGGAACAGTCTCCTTATTGTGTTAGGAATGTTTCCAGGTTACATTTATTTTTCACTTGTTTTAGGAATGTTTCCAGCTTAATCTTCAGAATAACTGAGCCAGGGGCCGAAGATATAGCTCAGTGGCATAAGCGCCTGCCTAGCAAGTACAAGGTCCTGAGTTCGATTCCCCTTCCCAAACAACAATAAAAAAGAATAACCAAGCCAGGCAGGCACTGACAATCAAATCACTGGTTGAGAAAACAGATGCCCAGAGAGGTCACTTGGTTTGTCGGAGGTCACCCAGATACCAAGTTGCAGAGTCACAGCTCAGGCCTCTACATTTCAGGTTTCTCCCTACTTCTCCTTGCTTGTGACAGGACAGGAGCTCCTTCTCACTGGCTGTCTTTCATCTTCCTTAACTTCTCTTCCTTGGGCGCATGGTGGCTCAAGACAGGGTGGTAATGAAGGGGACTCCCCTAGGATGTCCTGAGCACTGGGAGAACAAAGGCCAGAGTGGGACATTGCGAGGCTGGGCCCGTTCATCCTGTCAGCACCCAGCGACTATGTAGTGGCCGGGGCAGCTCCAACAGTGGTGGTGGAGTTGGAGCAGATGCTCACAGGGACGCAGCACAACTTTGGCAGTGTCCAGGGGAAGGCTCCCTGGGGAGGCGACAGTGACACGTGGCTCATGAAGATCCAGCAAAGACCATGCAGGGTGGAGGATGGGAAGACAGAGTGGGTGGAAGGGCTGGACCAATGTCCAGAGCAGAGGTCAGTCTGTCTGGACATCTGAAGGAGGGAGACAGGAATGGGATGAGGTGGCAGAGGAGGGAAAGCAATTGTGCAGCTTCCTGCAGACCCAGAGATGGCTGTGCTATCGGAGAAAACCACCAGGGGCTTCCACACAGTAGGTACAATGAGCTGTTTGCATTTTATCCAGATCACAATCCTTGGGCGGAAGCATGGAGGGTTCAGCCATGCAGAGAAAGCTCTCCTGTGATCATTACCCACCTCTCCACCCACTACTCCCACCCCACATCTTTAAGGGACCCAAGCAAGCAACCCACGATCACAGAGGCACAGAGCCAGGACCGAGTCCCGCCCATCCCTCCAGGACCATCACCACTCAGTACGCTGTCTGCAAACCTTGGACTCTGACGAATATGCAATGACACAGAATGGCCCATCCACTGTCACCGTGCTAGACTGAGTGGCGTCTCTGTTTACCTGGCATCTTTGATAGTTGACACAACATCCATGTTTACTTATTTGAATCCAGGGCTCATAATTTGACTTTGAGCAGAGTGGATATGCAGTTTACCCCTACAAGGTGGATTCTGTCCCTCAAAGTATCTATCAAAAGGTGTGAGAACTATGGTCACACATGGAAATGTGATAAAACCGGCCTTCAGGGGTCTGGAGTGTGGAATAGGTCAGTGTTAGGACACATTTCTGTCGCTCCACATCAGGCCTGTCAACAAGTTGGAGGCTGTGCAGTGTGGCCCAGGGGCTCACATCAGGCTCCTCTGGAATCGAAATAGGGATGAGGGCTGGCGAGGAACAGGGTGGAGTCCCCCCCCCCCCCCCCCCCCCCCCCCCGCTCCCTGGCGTGATTTCAAAATCATGGGCCGGGGTGCAGCTCAGTGGTGGGGTGCTGGCTTCACACACACATGGCCTCGGGTTCCACACTCAGTCTTGCAAAAAACTAAAATTAAAATTAAAGGGCAGCTGAAAACAAGCTCTTCTGGTAATGGGTCTGCCAAGAGGAGGACTTGTTTCAGTTCTCTCACTTGGGGCCTTTATTTTTTGGACACTTATTCAGAACAGAATTTCCTGCGCACTCTCTCATTGCTCCCTCCTTCACGCCTGGATTCTGAGCTGGGGACAGTTTGGGGGATCAGAAACAGAGACTTCAGGAGAAAGGGCTATGCCCACGTTCCCAGTTTTGTCCCTGGGTGGGAGAGATGGACCCAGGTCTGAGTCTTCTGATTCTGAAGAGAGGCGATGACCGTGTCGAATCTATGCTGTCCAGTGGGTCAGGCCGAGGCTGCTCCCCGTGCAGCAATGCCGGGCCCTGGGCCCTACACACGGGGTGGTAATTTGCTCAGCTTCTGCGGATCCCAGCAGGAGAGAAAGAATCTAGGAGCCTTCTTCCCTTTCTCACAGCCCAGGGGCAGCCTAGGCCCACGGCCCGCATGGTGTCTCGTGTGATCTGTGGCCTGCCCATCCTCAGGGTCTGCTCCCTACAGCCCAGAGGGGAGAAGAAATGAGACCCAGTGTGGATTTCCTGCAACACTGGGGGCGGGGGTGTCCCTCCCTCCCGCTCCTGTTCACTTCCGTCCACCAGTGGCACTGTCGGCTTCCTCCTCCTTTGCTCTTTCTCTTGGTGGTTGTGCTCTCTGCTCTTTGCTGCTTTCTCCACAGCATATCGTGCCCGCCTCTCGGTGGGTGCCCGATAGATGTTGCTGAATGCATGAACGACAGTGAAATGGTGTAAGGAGGAGTGGGGATGCATTCTGTGCTCAGGGGTGTGGGGCGAACCAGGCTGAGAGACCAGTGTAAGAAGAACACCAGAGTGGGTTGGAGCGGTGCCTGGCTGAGACTAGAGGTCGGAGCAGTGGTCCGATGGGGCCCCATGCAGAGCTGTGATTTAGAAGCTGTCCCCGCTGCGAGCGGAATCAGATTAGTGGAGGGAGAGTAGAGAAGGATGGGATCCCCGGTCCCGGGATGCAGCAGTTAGGAATTCCAGGGAGGAAAGGAAAGTATTTATGAACAAGCACTTCCCGCCTCTCAGCGTCCTTAATAGCCACATTCTGCGGCTGAAACTTGACTTTCCACAGGATGGATCGCGGAAATAGGTGAATGCTTCTGTGAACTGCGAGCCACTGAAACAAAAAGTGATTTTCCCTCTCGACTACCAATTTGTATATTTGGACATGGACTATGCCTGTGGAGTTTCTTTAATCTGTGCTCTTCAGCAGTTTGCAAGCTTGAGCAGCTCCATCCAGGACTCCCTGGGGACTGAGTGCTTCTGATGAATGTTGGGGCCCCCTCTAAATCTAATTAAAACGAAGGAGCGGCCATGTCCCAGCTCATGTGGCCAGTTCATTAGGTAAGAAAATAGTTTCTGTCCATCAGACAGGCATGGGTCCTGCCAGAGGGGTTTACCACGCTGAGGAGTTTGTGTTTCAATAAAGGTGGAGGCCAGTAGCGTGGTAGTAACATCACCGGGCACACTGCCTTCCTCGTCTGGATGACCTCGAGGGAAGACTGCTGGTGATTAGACAGAGAGGAGTCATTTGTGTGGGTGCTGCCCAGGATGGGGTCAAGGACCTGGGGACACAGCTGGAACGTGGGCTCCCAGGCCCCCCTGGAGGTCATTACATCCTCCACGGGGACTTGGCTTTTTAGATGCAGATGGACTAGGTTTGCTTATTCACTGAGTGAACAGAAACCGCAATGGCACTCCTGCCCCAGGGACTGTTGGGCTGGGGATCCTGACAATCCTGCTGTGAAGGAGTCGCAATCCCTGGGCTGGATGGCACCTTAAATCCCAGGAGTTCAGGGTCTCTGGCTCAGATGCAGCTGATACCCACCCCTGCCATCCTCCACATCTGCCCAGGATGCACAAACCCAGGTCCCCCCCACCTGGGGCATTCTCCGCTGGGCCTTTCTCTGAATTCTCCCCAGCCAGCGTGGTGGGAGCTCTTCTCCCACAATGGAAAGAATAGGGTCAGTCATAAACACCTCCCAAGGGAGGACTCTGAGCGCCCTCCCTGGGGTCTCCCGCGACCACTTCCCAAATAAACCGTGAGTTCTCAGGGTCCCTTTTGGCGAAACCCATCTTAGCTTTTCAAATTCCTGTCCTGCCTGAGACTCCAGCCCACAAGTATTTGCCTGCTCCTGAATGCCTGTTCATTTACAAGTGTGACTGGAAAATATGTTTAAATTTTAAAATATATTTAAATTAAAAGATAGCTTATTATAGTAAAAGACATATTGCCAAAAATGACAGGATAAGTGTGTTCAAAACAAAGCAATTACCTTTAGAGTATTTTTAGGGAGATTAATGCCAATGTGCCTTTTACTATATTAAACCTTTAAATTTAAACACTCAGGGTAGTTTTTGATCACACTCTGCCAGTCAACTGTTTGCAGCAATTTCTGCCAATTAAAAATATTATGGTGTGTCTTCATGTACTTGATTCACTAGATCTGATTTCAACTTCTGATTCTTCCCCAAAGTCAAAATGACTAGGAAAGTGGCAAAAACGATGGGATAAGCATGTTCAAAGCAAGGCGGGGGAGCATTCTGAGGGTGAGCATTAATGGCCATATGTCTTTTACTATAATAAACAAACTTTAACAAATTATTTACTGTAATTTTTGATTGCATTGTGTATAATCCATACTCAGGCA